AGACCATTCGACTCAGCACCCCGAAGACTACAACTGGTGAAATTTTAATTTTTGCCTTAACTTCCCCTTTAAATATGCCGAACTACCGGCCATGGTGAAAAGGTGGCACCACAGACATTAAGATAGGTCATCGTTCTAGCGCCAGAGTGTTCCAACTACGACAACTAGTGAGCGATGCATAATGCAGCAGCACTCATGCAGCTTACGGATAGTGCTCAACAAGACAAAAACTACAGTCAACTTCGCGTATAACGACACTCGGCAGGGCATCAGAAAAGTGTCGTTATTCGCGAAGTGTCGTTATACCCGAAGTCTCATTATATCTATTACAATTGGATGGGACTTTGCTCTGGGCATGGAAATTCTGTCATTATTCGCGAATTGTCGTTATATCCGCAGTCGTTATTGGCGAAGTTGACTGTAGTACCGAGGAGCATATTACCCAGCACTGTATGACTTTCTGCCCCTCCTGGGTTCGAGCTCCCTTCCCTTGTTCGCAGCCTTTTTTTCTAATTCTTCCATGGTGTTTTGACTGAAACACTCTAGTGTGACGTCACCCCATACACTCATACCTAGTTTATCCGGGCTATCCGGGACCGGGCACTGCCCGTAACTTCGAAATGTCTGTAACTCCGAATCGCATACATTTTGACAGGGGAAGGCCATAAGATATGGAATGTCACGTCACTATTTCCACAAAAAGTGACAAGAGTAGTCGTATTTACACTGGAACTCACCAACGGGTGCCCGGTAGACCGAAGTGCCCGTAACTCCGGGGTCCGGATAACCGAGGTATGAGTATACTAAGTCTTACAGATAGCCACTTACGTGTACATGTAGATGAGGATGCAACCACCTACAGTCCATTCAGAAAAAGATGGGCGCTGGCCCTGGAGAGCTCCCGTGTTTGGTGATTTTGCCAGTGCCGCGAGATTCGAAACTTCAAAAGGGTCCAAAAAAGGTACCTCAACTGGGGTTTGAACCGCAAATGTACTGTTCTGCAAGTGGAGTGCACGGGTTGGATTTTCATCGCTTTCCCCAAATTCAGTGCTTTGGGGGCAAAACCTGGCCGAAGTCTTATTCTTGTCATGGCTTGCTTTTTGGCCCATTTATGGCCAAAAGCTAGGATATCATCTTTTTCTGAATGGACTGTAATGCTGTAGACAGCAAGCTGTTTCAGCCATCTAGGCCTCATCAGTATAGCTATGAGCTTTCAGTAAGCCGAACTACCGGCCATGGCACAAATGGGGCACCACAGACATTAAGATAGCTCTTCGCTCTAGCACTAGTGTGCTTTAGCAACAAAAAGGAGCGAGTGATGCATAGTGCAGCAATACTACAGCAGCCCACCAAGAGTGCTCAACAAGACAAATGTAGAGGAGTGCAATACTGTATAAGTACAAATTTTCGTTCACGAAATCTTTCGTTATATCACTCCATCAGCAGGCTTGTTACGTATTAAATTTCGTTTTTGGTTGAGGTCTGTCACCCCAAACATTCAGAACAAAAACTTTAGTTTGGTACAAAAAAAACTTTAGTTTCGTACAAACTTTAGTTATTTCGTGCCCCTAACGAATATAGCAAAAGTTAATTCCAAACGAAAATGTGTACTTATACAGTAGCCAATGCTGTAGACAGCAAGCTGTTTTGGCCATCTAGGCCTTATCACTACAGCTAAGAGCTTTAAGTAAGCCAAATCACTGGCCATGGAGAAAAGGTGGCACCACAGAGATTAAGGTAGCTCGTCGCTCTAGCGCTAGAGTGCTCTAACTACGAAAAGTAGCGAGCGATGCATAACGCAGCAGCACTAAAGCAGCCTACCGAGCGTGCTCAACAAGACAAGGAGCATACGGTAATACGAAGAGTACATGAAAACCAGAGTGTGCAGCTCGGATGGGTGGCTGTCACGGCGAAATTCCGTGATTACACCATTTTAGTGATGTAGTGCGTACAAGCAGGATTCAAGCAGGTCTCTTTCTGCACAACTGCTGCTCAGTTGTACGCACTACCCCATTTCCTGCCTCAGATCTGCGCCCAATATGATGTAATCACGGAATTCCGCCGTGACAGACACCCATTGCAGAAAAGGCCCCAAGCTGCACACTCTGGTTTTCATGTACTCTTGGTAATACCCAGTGCTGTATGACTTTCCGACCCTCATGGGTTCCAACCACCCCCCCCCCCCCTCCCCTGGTGCACAGCCTTTGTCTTCTTCGTCCTCCATGGCATGTATTGACTGAAGTACCCTATTGTGACATCACCCCATACTCACAGATGACCACTTACATATACATGGGCATGAGGATGCAACCACATAATGCTATATCAGCCATCTAGGCCTCATCAGTACAGCTACAAGCTTCAAGTAGGTCGAACTACCGGCCATGGCGCAAAGGTGGCACCACAGACATGATTATAGCTCCTCACTCTAGAGCCAGAGATCTCTTAATATGAAAAGTAGCGAGCGATGCATAACGCAGCAGTGCTAAAGCAGCCTGCCAAGAGTGCTCGACAAGACGAATGCCAAAAGCGTAGTACCCAATGCTGTAGACAGCAAGCTGTTTCGGCAATGTAGGCCTCATAACGTTATAAGGTATGTGGCTAGCATTAGGTCTGTGGACTTATTGCTCGTTTCCCCAAAGATGGTGCCTTGAGCGTCCCCGTTTTTGGCATTTAGTGCTTGAACAGTGCTCTAAATGCACATTAGTGCTTTTACACTGCCACTTTATCAATTGACTAAAATCCAAGTAATGCTTCACTCTCGGCTTCACTTCACTCCACCGTGTGCATCTCTGGGTAATAATTTGTCTTTCATCGTAGTCATAAAAGAATGACTACTATGCACCTGGTGGCGATAAGGGTGAAACAGTGCCATTTTCCCAAATCCCCAAAAATATGAAAATTGAACTATTGGGCTATGACTTGTGTTGCTATGGATGGTACCACATGAAAGTGCACTCGTGCGCACAAACAAATACACATGCACATTCATGCCTACCAGACACACTTAATGGAGAAAGATAGATTGACACTGGAGAGATGGATGGTGGGGCTGATAGAAAACATAACATGGTTCAAGATTCGTCAACAACCAAACATCCTGCAACAATCATTGCTGGATTGGCCAACTGAGACAGTAACACAACTCCACGAAGCATTGCTCGTTTTGGAAACAGCAATTATTATAAAGTTTTGTGCTACTGTTGTGGACATGGAAATCCGGTCGCACATCTAGCGGCCCCAGGGCGCTGGCCGTGCAGCCGTGGATAAGCGGTACACACGTGCGTTTATGTGCTGCAGCGCGCTGGTCGCATCGGATCAACATGTGCACTGCACGCAGCGGTCTGTATGCGCTGAGGGCGCCGGCCCCGGTCATTCGACTGGATTTCCTTGTCCGCTACATTAGATTGTGCACGTCTGCCTGTTCAAAATCTGGTTTAGTTGGTGGACTCGATCGCGAAAAATGCCACAATTTCCATGTTACAAACTATTATAGTTTGTACAAACTATTATAGTTTGTAACATGGAAATTGTGGCATTATTTTTTGTGCTTGTTTTAGTGCCGGCACTAAAAGCCGCCCGGGGTTACCGATTCTTTTTCAAACCGAAAGTATTTAGTATTTTTCGGCTACCACCCACCCGCGTCACCTTTCTGCAGATAGACAGTAATTTTATATACTTAATTCAAATTCAAATTCTGTACGGCAAGTCGTGAAGACCACGCACACGTACTTTGCGTACATTGACCATGTTGACTCGGGTCTGTGCATTCAATAATTATTTTCAAAACCAACCAAAACCCCAACACGAAATCTTCTCGTTACAAAAATGGTAACCTCGGGTGGTCCCAGGCTCCGCTAGCATCGTTTTAGATATTTACCCTACATGTGGTTACCTACCATACTTTTTGGACGCCCACCATGCTTTTGGAAGCATACCATACTTTTGGAAGTAGATCATACTTTTGGATGCCCACCACAGTAGTGGAGTCATCTATGCGATACTTTTGGAAGCAGACCATATTTTTGGATGTATACCATGGAACCGGACTCAACTATGCGAAGAAGCAACTTAAGGCAGAAAGACGCAGGAGCAAGCAGATTACAGACAGCTAGAGGCAGGTAAGTGCATGTCTTTTTACATATTTGTATATTAAATTCTTTTAGGAATAAATATTCAAAATGTCAGAGCTTATCAAGAGGCTTTTTCAGGCAGACAATGTATCTAGAGGCATCTAGATAGAGGCAACTAGACGCAACAGAGATAAAATAGAGAGATAAAGCGCGCGTGCGCGCAAGAGAGCGACAGAGAGCCGGAGACAGAGAGGGGGAGAGAGGAGATGAAGAGAGAGGGAGAGAGAGGAATAGAGAGGGAGAGAGAGGAATAGAGAGAGAGATAAGGAGAGAGAGATGAAGAGAGATAAGGAGAGAGAGGGATAAAGAGAACGAGATAAGAGAGAGCGAGATTAAGAGAGGCAGAGATAAAGAAAGAAGGGGAGATAAAGAGATAGCTTAACAGAGAGAGGGATAAAGTAAGAGACATGAAGAGAGAGACGAAGAGAGAGATTGGGAGATAGAAAGACATTAGAGGGAGAGAGAGAGAGAGAGAGATTAAATATTAAAAGCGACAGAAAGACAGGTAGGAAAAGAGATGGAAAGAGAGACAAAGAGAGAGGGAGAGGGAAAACAGATATAAAAAGAGGGAGATAACGAGAGAGAGAAAGAGAGATGAGAAGAGCGACAGACTGACAGACAGGAAGAGAGATAGAAAGAGAGACAGAAAGGGAGGGAGAAAGAAACGAGAGATGAAGAGAGAGAGAGAGAGAGAGAATAGGGAGAGGTTAGGAGAGAGGGACAAAGAGAGTGATATATAGGGAGATAAAGCGAGGGAGAAATAAAGACTGAGAGAGAGATAAAGAGAGTGAGGGAGATGAAGAGAGAGAGAGAAAAAAAAGAGAGAGATAAAGAGAGGGAGGCAGATAAAGAGCGATATGGACAGTAAGAGATAAAGAGACAGAGATAAAGAGACATACCAGGAGATGGAAAGAAGAAGAGAGAAAGGAGAGAGAGAGGGAGAGGGAGAGAGAAGGAGAGAAAAGGATAAGGAGATAACGAGAGAGAGACGAGGAGAGAAAAGAGATAAAGTGATAACGAGAGAGAGGGAGAGAGACAGAGATAAGCAGAGGGAGAGTTATAAATGGAGGTAAAGGGAGGGAAATGAAGAGATACAGATAAAGAGAGATAAAAAGAGTGAGCTAAAAGGAGAGATAGGAGAGAGGTAAGGAGAAGAAGGATTAAGAGAGAGAGAGAGAGAAAGAGAGAGAGAGAGAGAGAGAGATAGTGAAGAGAGATTAGGAGAGAGATACAGCCAGAGATAAAGAGAGAGATTATGAGAGAATGATAAAAATAAGAAAAGAAGAGGGGTAAAGAGAAAGAGAGAGAGAGAGGGAGAGAGAGATAAAGATATATATATATAGAGAGAGAAACCAAGAGAGCAAAAGAGGGAGGAAGATAAGGAGACACTGCGAGATAGAGAGAGATAAAGAGGGAGAGAGAAGAAGAGATATAACGAGAGGGATATATAGAGAGAGATAAGAGGGAGATATTATAGATAATGAGAGAGAGATAGAGAGATGAACAGTGATAGAGATAGAGTTTAGGAGAGAGGGATAGAGAGAGAGAAAGGGAGAGACAGAGATAGAGATAGACAGACACAGAGAGACAGAGATAGATAGATAGATAGATAGATAGATAGATAGATAGATAGATAGATAGATAGATAGGTAGAGAGATAGGTATAGAGAGAGAGAGAGAGAGAGAGACAGAGGGAGACAGAGAGATAGAGGTGAAGAGAAAGAGAGAGAAAAAGAGAGACGAAATGGAGAGATAGCGATACAAAGATGATAAAGGGAATAAAGAGAGGGAGACAAAGAGATCGAGATGAAGAGGAGATAAAGAGAGAGAGAGGTACAGAGACAGACAGAGAGAGAAAGGGAGGGAGATAAAGGGATGGAAATAAAGACATGAAGAAAGAGAGATAAAGAGAGGGATTAGGATTAGGAGAGGGAGAGATCCCGTCCAGGAGAAAAAGTAAAGAGAGGGAAAGGGATAGATGAGAGGCGAGAGATAAGGAGAGAAACATAAGGAGAGAAAGAGAAAAATAGATAGAGAGAGAGAAAGAGAAAGTTTAGATGAAGGGAGGAGACAATGAGAGAGATAAAAAGAGGGTAGGTGGGAGAGAGAGAGAGAGATAAGGAAGAGAGAAAGATATAGAGAGATAAAGGAGGTAAAAGATAAAGAGAGGGAGATAAACACAGAGAGAGAGAGACGGGAAGAGAGATTAGGAGAGGAGATGAAGAAAGAGATAACGGAAGAGACGTGAAGAGAGAAACAAAAAGAGAGATCAAGAGTGAGAGATGAATGGAGATAAAGATAGATCGAGATCAAGAGAGAGAGAGAGATAAAGAGTCCATAAAAAGGAGATATACATATAGATAACAAGAGAGAGATAAAGAGAGAGAGATAAAGAGTGAGTGATAAAGAGAGGGAGAGGAATCAAGAGAAAGATAACGAGGGGAGATAAAGAGGGAGGAAAGAAGAGAGAGATAAAGAGGGAGGCGAATAAAAGAGATTAAGAGAGTGAGAGAGAGGGATAGAGTGAAGAGACAGAAAAAGAGACAGAGATAGATATAGACAGACACAGAGAGACAGATAGATAGATAGATAAATAAGCAAGCGGTTTCGGCCATAAAGGCCTCATCAGTACAGCTACGAGCTAAATAGGCCGAGCTACCAGCCATGGTGCAAAGGAGGCACCACAGACATATATATAGAGAGAGATAGACGTGAAGAGAAAGAGTTAAAGAGAAAGGTAGATAAAGAGAGGGCAAGGAAAGAATGGGAGATCGAGAGACGGTGGAGGGGAGAGATATAAAGAGACGGAGATGGGAGATGGAGAGACAAAGAGGGTAATGAGAATAAAGAGAGGGGGACGAAAAGAAAGAGAGAGAAAAGGAGACGGAAATGGAGAGATAGCGATACAAAGATGATAAAGAGAGTAAAGAGATCGAGATTAAGAGAGAGAGGGAAGAGAGAAGGGGAAAGAAAGGGGAGAGAAAGAAAAGAGGTAGATAAAGACATGAAGAAAGAGATAAGAGAGGGATTAGGAGAGGGATAGAGTTCAGGAGAGAAAAGAAATAGAGGGAAAGAGATAGATGAGGGGCGAGATAAGGACAAAAACATAAATAGAGAGAGAGAGACTAAGAAAAAAAGAGATGAAGGGAATCAACAATGAGAGTGGTAAAGAGAGATGTAAACAGGGAGAGCTATAGACAGAACGATTAAAGAGGTTAGGTGGGAGTGTGAGACGACGAGAGAGAGATGAAGAGAGAGAGAGATGAAGAGAGATAGAGAGATGAGAAAGATAAAGAGGGAGAGAGATACAAAGAGAGGGAGATGAAGAAGGGTTAGCAAAGAGAGATTATGAGGAAGAGAGAAATATAGAGAGAGATAAAGGAGGTGAAAGATAAAGAGCTATCTATAAAGAGAGTGAGGTAAAGACACAGAAGGAGGTAAAGAAAGATTAGGAGAGGAGATAAAGAGAGATAACGGAAGAGATGTAAAAAGAAAAACAAAATGAGATAAGGGAGATATGTAGAGAGAAAGAGAGATCAAATTTGAGAGATGAAGGTAGATAAAGAGGAGACAAGAGGCAAAAGAGAGAAATGGAGAGCTCTATAAATAGAGTAGATAGAGAGAGATAAAGCGAGGTTAGGGAGAGAGGTAAAGGACTTGAGATAAATAGAGACCTTTGGAGGGAGGATAAGAGAGATAAAGGGAGACAGAGAAAGAGAAAGAAAGGGACGAAGAGGGAGGTAAAGGGAGGGATCAGGAGAGATAAAGAAAGAACGATAGGGAGAGAGAAGATGAAGGAATAGAGATAATGAAAGAGGGAGATAAGAGGAGATAAAGAGCTGAAGATAAACAGGGAGATCAGGAGAAAGAGAGAGGTAAGGGGAGAGAGATACAGTGAGAGATACAAAGAGAAATTGCGAGAGCAGGAGAGAGTTGAAGAGGAAGATGAAGAGAGGGATAAAGAGAAGGAGAGATAAAGAGAGATAGAGAGAGATTAGGGGCAGAAGGGAGAGTTAAGGAGAGAACGATAATGAGAGATAAAGAAAGAGATTATAAAAGAGATGGAAGGATACAGAGGGAGAGATAAAGAGATGGAGGTAGAAAGAGATAAAATGGAGAGAGATCAAGACCGATAAAGATAGCACTAAATGGAGATTAATAATTTAGGAGAGGGGTAAATAGAGACAAAGAGGTAAAAGAGATCGAAATAAGGAGGTAAAGAGATGGAGATAAAGAGATAGAGATAAGGAGAGGGCTAAAGAGAGAGATAATGAGAGACATTACGAGATGAAGCTCTCTACAAAGAGGAATATAGGGAGAGATATAGCGAGACAGGTAAATAGTGAGAGATAAACAAAGAAGAGAGTGATCCGAAGAGGAAAAAGATTAAAAAAGAGACAAGGGTAGAGAGATAAGGAGAAACGGATGCAGAGAGTGAGAGATGAAGAAAGACATAAAGAAAGGAAAATACGGGATAAAGAGAGATGGAGAGAGGAAGATAAAGAGAGGGGGATAAAGGGAGAGGTAAAGATAGAGAGAGCTGTGTATCAAGAGATCAAAGAGCGATCAAGGGAGGAAAGAGAGGCTAGAAAGAGATAAAATAAAGGGTGAAAAGAGGAAGAGAGAAATAAGGGTAGATTATCTAGTTTAGAGATGTAATCCGTTAAATAAAGACTACAACTTTTGAAAATTTGATTTTAGACAGGCAGGAAGAGTGATGATGGAAAGAGAGAGGGAAGACAGGCAGGAAGAGAGGGAGATAACGAGAGAGATGAGAAGAGGGACAGGAAGAGAGATAGAAAGAGAGACAGAAAGAGAGGGAGAAAGAAAAGAGAGATGAAGAGAGAGGTTAGGAGAGGGACAAAGAGAGAGATAAACAGAATGATATAATAGGGAGAGATAAAGGCAAGGAGAGAGAGATGAAGATAGAGATAAGGAGGGAGAGGGATAAAGAGAAAGAGATGGAAGAGAGAGATTAAGAGGCAGAAAGTAAGAGAGGCAGAGATAAAGAAAGAAGGAGAGATAATGAGATAGCTTAACAGAGAGAGATAAAGTGAGAGACGTAAAGAGAGAGAGAACGAGAAGGACATAAAGAGAGAGAGAGAGATCAAGGAGACATAAAGAGAGAGACGAAGAGAGAGATTGGGAGATAGAAAGACAGAGAGAGAGATTAAATATTAAGAGCGACAGAAAGACAGGCAGGAAGAGAGATAGAAAGAGAGACAAAGACTGAGGGAGAGGGAAAACAGACATAAAGAGAGGGAGATAACGAGAGAGAGAGAAAGAGAGATGACAAGAGCGACAGACAGAAAGGGAGGGAGAAAGAAACGAGAGATGAAGAGAGAGAGAGAGAGAAAAGAGGGAGAGGTTGGGAGAGAAGGACAAAGAGATTGATATATAGGGAGATAAAGCGAGGGAGATATGAAGACTGAGAGAGAGATAAAGAGAGGGAGGGAGATGGAGACAGAGAGAAAAAAGGAGAAAGATGAAGAGAGGGAAGCAGATAAAGAGCGATATGGACAGTAAGAGATAAAGAGACAGAGATAAAGAGACATACCAGATAGAGAGAAGGAAAGAGAGAGAAGGAGAGAAAAGGATAAGATCACAAGAGAGAGAGAGAGAGAGAGACGGATGACGAGAGAGTGAGATAAAGAGAGACGGAGATGGGGAGATAGAGAGAAAAAGAGGATAATGAACATAAAGAGAGGGAGACAGAGAGACAGAGCGATACAAAGATGATAAAGGGCATAAAGAGAGGGAGAAAAAGAGGGAGGCAGAGAAAGAGAGGTACAGAGACAGCGAGATAGAGATAAAGAGGGAGAGAGAAGAAGAGATATAACGAAAGGGATATATATATATATAGAGATAAAGAGGGAGATATACATATAGATAATGAGAGAGAGACAGAGAGATGAACAGTGATAGAGATAGAGTTTAGGAGAGGGGAGAGAGGGATAGAGAGAGAAAGAGAGAGACAGAGATAGACAGACACAGAGAGACAGAGATAAACAAAGTGAGATAGAAAGGTAGAGGGGGACGCAAAGAGAGACAAAGAGAGGAGTTAAAGAGAAAGATAGATAAAGAGAGGGATGAAGAAAGAGATTAGGAGAGAGAGACGGATGACGAGAGAGTGAGATAAAGAGAGACGGAGATGGGGAGATAGAGAGAAAAAGAGGATAATGAACATAAAGAGAGGGAGACAGAGAGACAGAGCGATACAAAGATGATAAAGGGCATAAAGAGAGGGAGAAAAAGAGGGAGGCAGAGAAAGAGAGGTACAGAGACAAAGAGAGAGTGGGAGATAAAGGGATGGAAATAAAGACGTGAAGATAGAGAAATATAGACATGAAGATAGAGAGATAAAGAGAGGGATTAGGATTAGGAGAGGGAGAGATCTCGTTCAGGAGAAAAGTAAAGAGAGGGAAAGGGATAGATGAGAGGCGAGAGATAAGGAGAGAAAGAGAAAAATAGAGAGAGAGAAAGAGAAAGTTTAGATAAAGGGAGGAGACAATGAGAGATAAAGAGAGGTAAAGAGGGCGAGAAAAAGACAGAGATAAAAGAGGGTAGGTGGGAGAGAGAGAGAGATTAGGAAGAGAGAAAGATATAGAGATAAAGGAGGTGAAAGATGAAGAGAGGGAGATAAAGAGAGAGAGACGGGAGGAGATATTGGGAGAATTAAGATATAGAGGGGACGATAAAGAGGCAGGAAAATGAAGAGATTAGGAGAGAAAGAGAGTTTAGGAGAGGGATAGAGAGAGAGACAGAGATAGATATAGACAGACACAGAGAGACAGAGAGATAGATATATATAGAGAGAGAGAGATAGACGTGAAGAGAAAGAGTTAAAGAGAAAGGTAGATAAAGAGAGGAACAAGAAAAGAATAGGAGAGCGAGAAACGGTGGAGGGGATAGAGATAAAGAGACGGAGATGTGAGAAAGAGAGATAAAGAGGGTAATGAAAATAAAGAGAGGGAGACGAAAAGAAAGAGAGAAAAGGAGACGGAAATGGAGAGATAGCGATACAAAGATGACAAAGAGAGTAAAGAGATCGAGATTAAGAGAGGAGAGAGAGAGAAAAAGAGGTAGAAAAAGACATTAAGAAAGAGATAAGAGAGGGATAGAGTTCAGGAGAGAGAAAATAGAGGGAGAGATAGATGAGGGGCGAGAGATAAGGACAAAAACATAAATAGAGAGAGACGAAGAAAGAAATTGAGATGAAGGGAATCAACAATGAGAGTGGTAAAGAGAGATGTAAACAGAGTGATGAAAGAGGAGATAAAGAGCTGAAGATAAAGAGGGAGATAAGGAGAGAGAGGTAAAAGGAGAGAGATACAAAGAGAAATTGCGAGAGAAGGAGAGAGAGATGAAGAAGATGATGAAGAGAGGTAAAGAGAAGGAGAGGTAGAGAGAGAGGGCAGAAGGGAGAGTTAAGGAAAGAACGATAATGAGAGATAAAGAGATTATAAAAGAGATGGAAGGATGCAGAGGGAGAGATAAAGAGATGGAGGTAGAGAGAGATAAAATGGAGAGAGATCAAGAGCGATAAAGATAGAGGGAGACAAGGGTAGAGAGATAAGGAGAAACGGAGAGTGCAGAGAGATATAAAGAAAGGAAAAGACGGGAGAAAGAGAGATGGAGAGAGGAAGATAAAGAGAGGGGATAAAGGGAGAGGTAAAGAAAGAGAGCTGTGTATTAAGAGATCAAAGGGCGATCAAGTGAGGAAAGAGAGGCTAGAAAGAGATAAATAGGGGGTGAAAAGAGGTAGAGAGAAATAAGGGTAGATTATCTAGTTTAGAGATGTAATCCGTGTATATAGTTACCGATGATCGATATGATTTTGTCTTTACTGCTGTTCTTGATGCTGGTTGCCGTTATTTTTTAGCTCTTGCTAGCGCTGTTCTTGATGCTAGCTGTTATTATGCCGGTGTTCTTGCTATTGATTGTTCTTGAGGGTGTTATTGCTCTTGATCCTAATACTACATACATATCAATCATTTATTTGAGGCTCTTCTGTCGTTCTACATTTCATATGACTATTTCATATGAGGCCAATAATAGTACTAAAGTATTAGCACATCGCATACCCTCGAGATTGGTTTTAGGAAGGTGATGATTGTAGATCTCTGGTTCATAAAAGGAGAAAAAGATGTAGTGCGTGTATATAGTTACCGATGATTATTAAGATTGTCTTTCCTGCTGTTTTGGCATTAGTTGCTGTTATTTTCCACCTCTTGCTGGTGTTGTTCTTGATGGTAGCTGCCGTCATTATGCCGATGTTTTTACTTTAGCCTTGTTCTTGGTGGTGTTCTTGCTGATCGTCCCGATACTACACCACTTGAATACGTATCAATGTTTACTAGAGGCTCTTCTGTCGTTCTATATTTCATATTTACTGGTCGATTAGGAGGCTAATAATTGTATTACAGTGTTAGCACATCGCATACCCCCAGATTTGTTTTAGGATGGTGATGATTTTTGTTCTAATAATACAAGGACGTTGTCACTTTGTTCTTACAGTTCTTTGCCAGATATTACATTTCATCTTGTCAATCCTCGGTCTCAGTGGTGAACAAAGAGTGTCATGTGAACTATTACTTGTGTTAGCATGCACATACATGTAGATGTATGTGCTAGCGCATAGTATTGGCTGCATGTGCATGCATAATTGTGCATGCATTCACCTATACAAGCATGCATAAGAAATGCCCATTCATATACCCTCACGCTCACCCAAACAACTGTTAACGTAACCCCACCCTTACCTAAATCCTACCCTACTCCTAACCCTATCCCTAGCCCTAACCTACCGTAACCATAACCCTAACCCTACAATATCCCTTACCCTAAAAACTCTAACCCTCCCCTTACGCGAACTCTAACCCAAACCCTAACCCGAACCTAACCCTAATCCTGACCCAACTCTAACTCTAACCCTACCGTAATTCCAACAGCAATCCTAACCCTAACCTTAACCCTGCCCTAACCCTACCCTATCCCTAAACCTAACCCTAACCCTTGCCTACCCCTGGCCTAAAACTAACCCTTACACTAACTCTATCCCTTACCCTAACTATATCCCCAACCCTAACCCGAACCCGACCCTAATCCTAATCCTAACTCTAACGCTATCAACCCTACCTCTTGTCCTAAACTCAACCCAACCTAACGCAAACCCTACCCTAAGCTTAGCCCTCCTCTAACCCTAACACTAACCCACCCAGCCCTAACCCTAGGTCTAAGCTTACCCTCACCCTAATCCTACCCTAACTCTAACGCTAACCATAACCCTAACTCTGGCTGTTACTCAAACCCTACCCTAACCCTAACGCTCACCCTATTTCAAACCCTAACCCGAACCGTACCAACTGTATCGCTAAAGCTAAGTATAACCAAATGTATATTGATAACCCTTACCCTTACTATATCCCGAACACTAACCCGAACCCGACCCTATTCCTAATCCTAACTCTAACGCTTGTCCTAACCTTCCCCCAACCTAATGCTAATCCTACCATAAGGTAAGCCCTCCCCTAACTCTAACACTAACCCACCCAGCCCTAAGTCTAAGCCTACCCTCACCCTTCCCTAATCCTACCCTTACCCTAACGCTAGCGATAACCCTAACTCTGGCCGTAGATCAAACCCTTCCCTAACCCTAATGCTGATCCTATCTCGAACCCTTACCCTAATCTTACCAACTCTATCGCTAAAGCTAAGAATAACAAAATTTATATTGATTGACATGAAATTCAGACATTGATATACATTCATATACATCCATATACATTCATGTACATTCAAGTACATTCATGATTTTACATTCATGTTCGGGACCTTTGTGCAGAAACATCCTTTTGTATTCGCATACATTCATATTTTTGCACGAATGCACATACATTGATTTTCCTCATTCATATTCCGCATTAATGTGCAGTACTCATTGATGTCATGTTCTGCATTCATGTGCATTCATGTTCAGCATTCGTGTACATTCATGTTTTGCATTCATGTTCATTTCTGCAGGCGTGCATATTCATAATCTCCGCTCAAACACATTCATGTATTTTCATATAAATTCATTTTCTGCATCATGCATTTTCTGCAAGTTCATTCATGTATATTCAAGTTCTTCAATTATTCACATTAATGGCCTACATTCATGCATATTCACCTTTTTGAATTGTCTTCATTCTAATTCTGGATTTGTGGACATACATTTGTTAATCATGCATTCAATTACATTCATATTCTTTCACTCGCATTCTAGTTCTAGTTATGTATAATCCTGTTCTGCATTCAGGCACATTAAAAAAAAAAAAAAAATTTCACGGTTCGCGTGAGACTCGGCTGGAAGCCGGGTTTTCCGCATCCGTAGGAACGCCACCACCCTTCAAGGATCAAGGCGCAGATGCAGCGCCTAAAGCGGTGGGAGGTGAGTAGATCAGCTCACCAGCAAGTGGTCAAAGACCGAAAATCCCATTCACTGCATCCATGTTTTCCTCGTGCCAGGCCACGAGTTCCCAATTAACTGTGGGTCGCAGCACGGCTGGAAAAAATCCTTCCGCTTCCAAGCAGGACTTGAACCTGGTACCCTCTGTTTCTCAATCATGGTCTTAGACCATCCCACTATGCCTGCCTGCACATTC